TTGAGAAGTCTGATCGAAAAGTACGAATTGTTTTGGATTCTACGCACCAAAATTAATAAGAAAAAGTGTTTTTCCGAGAAATTTGGGTGCGGTCGATTTTTGGTAAAAAAGGAAGGTTATACACTACCTTTTTTTGAAGCGCGAAAAAAAATTGTCTCAGATCGAAACGGAAAAAATTTTCTTATAGAATGTGGCCTGTAGAATCCATAATTTCAAACAGTTCCAAGATTGGGCTACTAGTTCAAAAGTTACAGCCCTTTGAATTTTGTTTCGAAATTGGTTTCTAGTCTATAACTTTTGATTGAGAAGTCTGATCGAAAAAGTACGAATTGATTTGGATTCTACGCAACCAAATTAATAAGAAAAAGTGTTTTCCCGAGAAATTTTGGTGTAGTCGATTTTTGGTAAAAAAGGTTATACACTGCCTTTTTTTGAGGCCCGAAAAAAAAATTGTCTCAGATCGACCCGGAAAAAAATTCTCTTATAGAATGTGGCCTGTAGAAACCATAATTTCAAACAGTTCCAATATTGGGCTACTAGTTCAAAAGTTACAGCCCTTTGAATTTTCTATGAAAATAGGTTTCTAGTCCATAACTTTTAATTGAGAAGTCTAATCGAAAATGTACGAATTGTTTTGGATTCTACGCACCAAAATTAATAAGAAAAAGTGTTTTCCCGAGAAATTTTGGTGTAGTAGATTTTTGGTAAAAAAGGAAGGTTATACACTGCCTTTTTTTGAGGCCCGCAAAGAAAATTGTCTCGGATCGACCCGGGAAAAAATTTTTCTTATAGAATGTGGTCGGAATGTGGCCTGTAGAATCCATAATTTCAAACAGTTCCAAGATTGGGCTACTAGTTCAAAAGTTACAGCCCTTTGAATTTTCTTTGGAAATTGGTTTCTAGTCCTATAACTTTTGATTGAGAAGTCTGATCGAAAAAGTACGAATTGTTTTGGATTCTACGCACCAAAATTAATAAGAAAAAGTGTTTTCCCGAGAAATTTTGGTGCAGTCGATTTTTGGTAAAAAAGGAAGGTTATACACTGCCTTTTTTTGAGCCCCGAAAAAAAAATTGTCTCAGATCGACCCGGAAAAAAAATTTTCTATAGAATGTGGCCTGTAGAATCCATAATTTCAAACAGTTCCAAGATTGGGCTACTAGTTCAAAAGTTACAGCCCTTTGAATTTTCTTTCGAAATTGGTTTCTAGTCTATAACTTTTGATTGAGAAGTCTGATCGAAAAAGTACGAATTGTTTTGGATTCTACGCACCAAAATTAATAAGAAAAAGTGTTTTCCCGAGAAATTTTGGTGCAGTCGATTTTTGGTAAAAAAGGAAGGTTATACACTGCCTTTTTTTGAGCCCCGAAAAAAAAATTGTCTCAGATCGACCCGGAAAAAAAATTTTCTTATAGAATGTGGCCTGTAGAATCCATAATTTCAAACAGTTCCAAGATTGGGCTACTAGTTCAAAAGTTACAGCCCTTTGAATTTTCTTTCGAAATTGGTTTCTAGTCTATAACTTTTGATTGAGAAGTCTGATCGAAAAAGTACGAATTGTTTTGGATTCTACGCACCAAAATTAATAAGAAAAAGTGTTTTCCCGAGAAATTTTGGTGCAGTCGATTTTGGGTAAAAAAGGAAGGTTATACATTGCCTTTTTTGAGGCCCTAAAAAAAATTGTCTCGGATCGACCCGGAAAAAATTTTTCTTATATAATGTGGCCTGTAGAATCCATAATTTCAAACAGTTCCAAGATTGGGCTACTAGTTCAAAAGTTACAGCCCTTTGAATTTTCTTTCGAAATTGGTAGTCTATAACTTTTGATTGAGAAGTCTGATCGAAAAAGTACGAATTGTTTTGTATTCTACGCACCAAAATTAATAAGAAAAAGTGTTTTCCCGAGAAATTTTGGTGCAGTCGATTTTTGGTAAAAAAGGAAGGTTATACACTGCCTTTTTTTGAGGCCCGAAAAAAAAATTGTCTCAGATCGACCCGGAAAAAAAATTTTCTTATAGAATGTGGCCTGTAGAATCCATAATTTCAAACAGTTCCAAGATTGGGCTACTAGTTCAAAAGTTACAGCCCTTTGAATTTTCTTTCGAAATTGGTTTCTAGTCTATAACTTTTGATTGAGAAGTCTGATCGAAAAAGTACGAATTGTTTTGGATTCTACGCACCAAAATTAATAAGAAAAAGTGTTTTCCCGAGAAATTTTGGTGTAGTCGATTTTTGGTAAAAAAGGAAGGTTATACACTGCCTTTTTTTGAGCCCGAAAAAAAAATTGTCTCAGATCGACCCGGAAAAAAATTTTCTTATAGAATGTGGCCTGTAGAATCCATAATTTCAAATAGTTCCAAGATTGGGCTACTAGTTCAAAAGTTACAGCCCTTTGAATTTTCTTTCGAAATTGGTTTCTAGTCTATAACTTTTGATTGAGAAGTCTTAATCGAAAAAGTACGAATTGTTTTGGATTCTACGCACCAAAATTAATAAGAAAAAGTGTTTTCCCGAGAAATTTTGGTGCAGTCGATTTTTGGTAAAAAAGGAAGGTTATACACTGCCTTTTTTTGAGCCCCGAAAAAAAAAATTGTCTCAGATCGACCCGGAAAAAAATTTTTCTTATAGAATGTGGCCTGTAGAATCCATAATTTCAAACAGTTCCAAGATTGGGTTACTAGTTCAAAAGTTACAGCCCTTTGAATTTTCTTTCGAAATTGGTTTCTAGTCTATAACTTTTGATTGAAGCAGGCATAGTTAGATATATAGATACATAGAATACACGAATTGGGGTGTAGCCGAGGGACTACTAGTTCCGGTAAAGTGTTAGGGCAACTTAAGTTTTTCAAATAGAAACTTATCCATACTTTGTGTCCGAAAAATAATACACTTTCCTGGGAAACTTTTTTGCCTACACTTATCATTTTTTGAAGCACTTTTCCAAAAGCTGTTCTGTCAAGAATTTTTTTTTTAAATTTACCTTTATTTTTGAGTGGGCGGGGTTTCAGCCAAGGCTGCTCTACCAACCCAACCCACTATACATTTACAAATATCCATGCCCGAACCCGGATTCGAACCAGGG